AATCGGAATCAAGCAAAAAAAATCAGAACAAACCTCCAATAATCGATCGTCAAAGCTCTGTATATTATATCCATCATCTTTAGCGCTACCCCAAAAATTGGCACCACCAGAATAAGAGGGAATGTTCAATATCACAATGCCTGCAAAAATTGCAATTTAGATTTTCAAAACAGATCTGTTGTTTTTGGATGAATAAATACAAAATGAATAAATAATGGCTGAATAAATAAATAAAACTCTAAGAAACCTGTGTGGCAAATTATAGAAGATAGATTTGCTGTTTTTTTTTCTTTCATAAATTATAAATCTAGCTGATCATATTCCTGTTTTCTTGGTCCCAACGGAACATAGGTGTAAATTTTGGCACTAGCCGCGTGAGAAAAAACGATGCAACGCTTGGCCACGACCCCCCTTCCTCCACAATTTTTTAGATCCCCCTCTTCCCTATGAAAATGTAGCGGAAGAGCTTAGCCTATTAGTAGAAACACGAATGCATACAAATTAGCTAATTAGCATTAATGGTAAACGAACGAACGTAAAAATGGATGTCATTATTTCAATTAATTTCTCAAAGCATTAATCTTAGGTCTATGTGTGGTTCTAAAATAGCTCCAGGTAAAGTATCTCATTGAACAAAAAACATGAGAGCCTACCTTGAAGAGAAGGAAGATCGATCAGTTTGCCATCACACTCTAGCCGTATCCTTTGATCTAAGTTACGATACGTTCGATGCATCAATTCTTTGCCACCCAGAATACCGTACCACATGAAAAGACGCGAACGGCTTCGGGTCTACAAAAAAAAAACTCAAATTAAAGCACAGTCGCTCTATCAGGGCAAAAAAATCCTACCTTATCTGACTCTTCTCTTTTATTATGAAACTCTAAGGCGATTTTTGCATCCAGACCAATTCCAAAATAATTATTCATCACTTTCAATTCTTTGTACTGGTCTCTGTAAAGAAATTTTCAAAACAACCATTAAAAAAATCGATAATCACTTACAAAGGTGTATGACACTCCTTTGAGCTCACTCCCAAACCACAAACACGAGCATTCAACAAAAGCACCTCGGCTATTAGAGATCCACCAGCTAAACCCGTCGATAGCAAACCTCTGCAATTTATTCGTGTAGGAAAGGAAAGGACATTTTCCAGCAAGCAAATTCAGCCTTGAACAGCATAGCTGACAGGTTGGAAAGAAAATCTAGGACATTTTTATGGTAAAACTGGTGCTTCTCAAGCAGTAGATGCACGAAAGTATAGACATACGTTTGTACTTGTACATGTGTACGGCGATTTCCACGCAAGTGGATAGGGCCTATAAGGGAAAGATACTTGGTGACCGTGGCTGTTTGAGATGTGATGTA